CTTTGCATCTGAGTGCCACCGAGATATTTTGACCTTGAAACGCTAACGCGAAAACAGTTAGATCAGTTAGATCAACGATTCCTGGTGTTGAGAACAACAGATGAACGACAGATTCTGTTCCGATGGAGAATGACTTGAATGGGTTTCTATAAAAACTTTGATAATCAAGTACGACATTTTTTAAGAAACCGGGACCCGATTGATTCACTACCATCTGCTCATTCAGAAACACGATTTTTGGCTGTAGAATGCACCATGCTTTTCACTTCCTCACAACATTTGAAGCTAAGAAAAAAGACTACAAGGTAGTTCGTGTTTGCGATTTTGTTTAGCCCAAAATAGACACTCAAATTTACAAGGTACTTAATTACTGGGTTTAGAAACAGCAATCCACAAGGGATCTGTGTTTATTTCTCAAGCGCGAGAACAACCGTTCTCATAGATTAGGTTGAATTCCATGGTTTTCTCGTTGTCTCTTCCGTTGTGTACAAACATTTATCTGAAGGTTTGGTCAGAAAAGTGACGATTCGTGAAAACATCGAAAACAAAATTAATGTGAAGGTCAAAGGTCATCAGGCTTAGTCTAGCCTTGCTCTGTCATGGTAGAGCTGCCACATTGGTTCCGATCAATAATCATGTTTTTCCATTCTTTTATCATGTTGAACACCAGTGTGACTGTTGATTCTTGATCTTCACATTCATTTCGCCTAGTGGAGTGTATTTGGTATTTAGAGAACTGTATGAGAGGAATGGAGGATTTAATTTGATTTACTTCGATGAACTCGTCGTGTAATCGAGGCTTGAGCTGAAAAGCTAGGAAGTGTTGGACAGTTGTTTCGATCTGGTTGGGTCTCATCAGCAGCAGTGAACGATTCCATTGAACCGAATGGGCATCGAACCCGAGACATCATTGATAGAACGCAAGCATAATGCTACCCACTCGGCCACCGGGCAGGTGATCAGACCGCTTCTCATTTTGAATAAACATGATATAACACAACCCATCTTTGCGATCTTATGGTGGGCAACTGACGTTGCTCATCTCAGAATTAGCCTCTAGGGGGTGATGAATCGGTTGATAACTTCCACAACCTGGGTACTTGTTATATGAGAAAGTTAAAATATTTTGTCCTTGTTTATTTGGCCGAATAATTAACGCACCAAAGACAATGTTTTGCCTGTCCTGGGTGCAAACTGTTGGTTACTGGAGAAGGACATGTGTATGCTTTCCAGATGTATTGGCTATCATTGTCTGATTGAGGAGACATGGTGAAATTGACAATCGCGTAGCTGCTCGAACAGAACTACTTTTTGTTGACACAAAATAGCACAATCTACCGTCTGCAAAACTGCTCCGAGGTACCGGCTCTGTTGGTATGCAGTGTGAAATAGATCTGCTAATCTTTTCGCAAAATCCGATTTTGTTTTGTCCTGTTTGCCCAGCTCGTGGTTCGAAGATTAACTGTTTTGTTATCATGACACACGTTATCGCACTCGTGAGATGCCTCGCGTTTTCCTCTTTTTATTTTTTTATTATTTTTCACTTCAAATCATTTGATGTATGCAATGTTGCTAACATTTGTCAGGAAGTGGAAGCGACCAGTCGAAGAGCTGTCCTACAATATCTACATAGAAAAATGGAGATAAGTTTTAGAGGGTAGTGATGGTGGTGGGAGTCGAACACACATCCTTCAGCTCCTCGGGTCGGGTCGGGTCGGGTCGGGTCGGGGGGGGGGGGACCTTGACCGCTTGAGCACTTTGTGAACGTGTTAGTTTTAAACAAGGTTATTACATATGCGAAGATAACAAGGATTGTCGGTAGGTCACGCAGTTGATCGTTGCGTTTGTGACGTTTTTCCCAAACCAAACCGCCTTCCTTGTAGTGATACAAAATCAAATCCCGTAGAAGGTGTATGGTTTCACGAAGAGGTATGATGAGATAAATATATCGTTCGAGGAATGGGTATCAAGACTATTGGCAGAAAGCAAAACAATATAATCATGAACCTGAAGTGAAAATTCAACGGCATCTCAGTGACCTGTTTGAACAGTGCATCTTCATGGGCTGTGAATGTATAAAATATTTTATGCAACTCAAATTATTCAATCACAAAATTGTTGTAAGAGTATGGCAGCCGGAAACCAATGCGGAATTCAAACGGAGCGATTTCAAGATGAGACCAAATAAGTAAGTAGAGGAGTGATTTCGTCTGGTTATATAATCTGTCATTCCGGAAAGTTTGCGTGCACACAGTTTATGGACAATACTCAAGGAGTGAAGTTATCTACTTGGTATATAATATTTACGGAACAAAACACATCTCGAATGTTCCTTCTAGCGAGCATAAATGCGATCGGGATTTTTTTTGTTTTATTTTACCTGGCAGTATATCCATGAGTATGTAATTATCGACAATTTACTCGTTTCGATTGAGTGAGCAATGCATGTGCGAAGCTTGGTTAGTTAACATCGTGGGTGCCAGATGTGATAGCTATCTATTGATTAACTGACGATACATTGATCCTCTTGTTTAACATTATCCAGGAGATCTAACTAATTAAGAAATATTAAATTTATTTTTCCCCCTGTCCACTTTCGATTGAACCCCGGGGATAGATTCTCAATCGTTCACAATGACCATGAGCCCAACTCCCCTACTTCAACCCGTCCCGGTTCCCCCGATTCGATTGAATGTGAATCGTTTCGGTGGTGCTTTCTCCTGTGGTCCCCCGGTGCCGACTATTCCCGAGGTGGAAGAGGAAGAGGAAGACATGGAACCGGGTGATGTCAGTCCGGAAAGTGAACTGACCAATGGACCAATCGTTCGACGGAACGGGACAGCAACAAAACGTAGCCCGATCAAAACAAAACGGACTGTGGTCAACTCTAGTGAGGCCGCCACCACCACCACCAACATCACTACTCCTGCTGATGCTATTGTACATACGACTCAGCCACAAGCAACTGGAACACCTAGCTCAACTAGTAAAGTCAGATCAGGGCAGCCCAAATTCGAATCGGATCGATCCAAGACAGTGGACGATGAAGAGGCGGAAATCGAGGAGGATTATCCACTTCTAAGACCGGATTATTTTGTTGGGTGAGAAGTGCTAAATCAATATCGTACATTTTGCATTGACTTTCTTACATTTTGGTGATCGAGTGCGAGTGTTCGTCTGGGAGTGAAAGAGAAAAAGAAATAAATATAAATGAAGTGATTACAGAATGGGATTTTGGAGAAATTTGATTGAATAGCCTTCACCTTGGATAGTAGTTCATGCATTTACCTGCGATAGAAATGTTTGTGATAACCGATAAAGAGCACTGGACAGCTGTTTAATCTTGTTTGAGACTCTTCAGCAGTAAGTACATTTTTGTATCCCTGTCAAGAATCGAACCGCGAACCTTCGGGTTGGGATTTCAAACCGTTACCCCTAGGTAACACCGTCGATCGTCATCACTTTGTACGAATGGCTCAATCAATTTTGAAAGTATCCAGCATTCAACTAAAAGGGGAATTAACAAGCTCCAAAGGAGTGAAACCCACACCCAAGACCATCAAGAGTGTCCGATGCCTTGTAACAATCGAATGGTCTAATCCAAGCTTGCTACCTATAAAATTGATTGAGCGATTCGCACAAAGTGATGACCGTCGACCACGTAGCTCAGGACTAAGGGTCTGAAGTCCAACTCGAAGGTTCGCGGTTCGAGTCCTGACAGAAACACAAAACTGTACGCAATGTTAACGAGTCCCGAACAGGACGAAACAGCAGTCTAATGCTC